AAAACCCTCACAATTTAATGAGCACTTCAAACCTGCGCTGAATATTTAATATGTAAACAAAATTTGCTCGACTTCACTTCTATTAGAAAAACAGAAAAACACGATTAAAATACACCTTTATTGCTTATTTGTTTGTGTGATTTACATTCTAATTGGCTTAATTTTTAGGTTTTTTTTTTGCTTTGTGTCTTATCAACTTGTCTGGAACGACTTTTTTTTTTTAACTGTTATCATCAAAGGAGTGCTTCCAATAATACATTAATACTTTATAATGCGTTGTGACTCAGTCTTGATTAAGAATAAATTATTAGTAACTCATAAGCTGAAGTGGTTGCTTTAAACAATTTCCAACGTTGAGCACTAAACCAAAGCATTTCTAAATTTTGTCGTTGTTGGATGCCAAAAACGGTCGCTCGCTACATGGTTTGCCGTCCTTATCGCTAATCGGAATTGGGATTTACAGCTTCACGAATTTTAATTTCCAAGACATTATTGTGAATATAAATACATTACAAACAATTAACGAGCCGTTCCAGTCCCATGATGTTTCAGTGACAAAATTTATCTGAACTTTATGATGGGTTAATTTTTGAACAGATTAAAAAATAATAATTGAGTTTGAGAGTTGAGCTAAACTTAAACAAAAGATTCTTTAAAACATCGATAAGGTATTCACGCTACTTTATTCAGTACTTGTTAAAAGGTATCGAGTATGTACTTAATACTACTTTGTACTTAAGATCAAAAGCCCCACCTACTCGAAAATACCTTATACATAAATACTATGTTCACATTGAGCCATTAACTCGAGTTAAACGTTTTGAGTTTCTGAACAACTGTCAAGTGTTCTCATTGGGGTGTTTAAGAAACTCAGAGTTTAATTTGACATTTTTTTGTTCACTTTTTCTTATTCACATTTAGCCTGTTCCTGTACTCCAGGGTTTAGACAGAAATATTCCGAAGTAGCCGTGGTGTAGAATACCAATTTAGAATTATTCATGCTTTTCAACCATACCAAGATCATTTGGCGCAAATGCAAAGCAAAGCCAATAAAAGAGGGTAAAGTTAAATTTTTATATTTTTTATATTTATAATATTCCGGAAACTATTTTCCCGATCAAAGAAGTTGGTGCACAAAAGAACGATTCTGGCATTGGCCATTCCGCGGAAACCAAAGATCCTCCAAGTCCATGTCTTCAATCCGGCAACAAAAATCGTTTTATCATGCCTCTGTAGCGCTCCAGTAGCATTTTCAAGGGAAATGGGGCTAATGATACTACCGTAGCAAAATCCGCACCACTCTAAAATAACATATGATTAAAAAAACCACCATAATGAACCACCTTTATACCTTCGATACAAAGACTCCAAGAGCACGAGGTAAACGCTTTCGTCCCATCTAGTGCTTTTTTCATAAAAATCGAAAGGAAAAAAGCAAAAATTAAGAAATAAATCATGCCGATCACCCAATGCTAAAATTCTTGGTACCTATCTAAGCTCTTAACTGCAGTTAAGCCTTTGGTGGAAAAAGGCTATCAATTAGCTCGAAATTAACCATTTCCGCCACTTAATTATGTTTTATATTAGGGATTATGTAATCCATTTATACAAAAGATTTTTAAGAAGTTTAGGATTCAAAACAAACAGCAACAGCTGCTGTCACCTTATCTGTGGTTAACGTTGTTGGCATTGTTTTTGATTGCTGTGACTGTGAGTCTCTTGCGGTCATTAGTCATTTGTACTAATTTTATTTACAAAAACAAAACCATGCGAAAGAGGGCACATAACCATTCACTCACAAATGCAGCAGACGTGCGTACCAATGCTGTAGCGTCAACAGAAAATATGTAAGAACATCAGCCATCGTCAAAGCCAAAAAATTTGCTTGCTAAGTATTTATTGTGAAAATAAATAATTAAAGAATAAAAATTGATACATAGCTTTGATATGTGAGCCTTTGTTGTCGCTTCTGTAGCATCTGCATGGCTATTAGCAGCAATGCGATTGATAGAGCGCTACCTGTGCCCAGTGCCGTCGAACAAGTACATATGTAGGTATTTTCATATTTCTGTAAGTGAATGATTAGCAGAAAGTTATTCGCAATAATAATTTCACAGCCACTTCAGATCAACAGACCAAATTGATTTTCGGTATATGCACTAAAATTTGGTAATAGTAATGATAGGAGAATTTCCAAATGACCGTGTCTAAAGCCCGTTTCCCCATATGAATTCTCTCAGAGTTCGAATAATAAAACTCTAATGAGTATAAGTAAGGTGACCAGAATTTTTTAACATTTCAGGAGGACAAATTCTCTACATTGAAAACGCAAAAAAAAAAAATTATATATATTTTAACACATAAATAACGAATAAATTAACAATTCGGAGTTTCACTAAACACAAGTCAAAAAATTTAATAGTACACTGTGTTGCATAATTAGAAGATATATATAGATAAGTTTTGACTATTTCTTTTTAAATTATTTAATTGTCATTGTATTACTCGCAAAAGAAAGTGCTTGTTCTTCGTATTTCCTCAAAGTTTAATTATAATTTTGTATTTTTTATAACCTTTTATAACGGTTCAAAAGTTATAACATTTTAAATGAAAACAAATTTTTTTTACAGTAATTACAGTCTGCAAATGCCCACCGACACTTTTTAAAATTTAAATAAATTTTTTATAAATGTGAGAATTTCCTTCTCAGTAAATAAGTAATTTTAGGGCCATAAATTTGCTAGGTTAGCTATTTTGGATCACCATATACATATATATACTCGTTTAAAGTAATAAGTATAAGTGGTAAAATTTTCTGGAAAACACTCCCCAAAAAATAGTCGCGCGCTGGGCCTGTGCTATTTTTGATTATGTACGTGAAATAACACATTTTCTTAAAATTTTTTAAGCATATTTGTGCTCCAATGCAACGAATATACTTGTTTTGAACCATCTTACAAATACTTTTATCACGATAAAAAATCTCCACACACAAGAATTGCCACTGATAAAACATATACATATTTGGCAAACAAAATGACATATGGTAGGCAATAATTTTCGCCTTGTGAAGACGCGTCGTAATACGGTTTCCCCACGGCACCATGAATTACTTTGTTCGTTCTCTCCAATTACGATTGCGAATTCCCCCATTCCCACGGGCTTATTCTTAATTTGATTTGACAGTTCCCTATCTCTGTGTTTTGTTTTTTTTCTTTGCTACAAAATTTATGAAAATGTAAGTTATTGCTTAAAATTTATAAGCTTCCGTATTAAATTCTTGATGTACATACATATGTAAAACTTTACTTTTCGTACTCAGAAAAAGTGGCAGTTTTGATTTGTGTTCTGGTTTCGATAAATTTCCGATAAAAATTAGAGACGGCTGCGATTTGTTTGTAATTCACACATGGTAATGGGAGTGCGACTTATGAATGATAGAGCGAACTACGTAAATGGGGTGCCGTGGGAAAGCCGTACTAAATATTATTGATTAAGGTTGAATCAAGAGTTTACATCATTTAACTAAGAGTTGAACAATGTAAACGCCTTTTAAATATAATGTTTGTGTACGATTAGGAAATATGTAATAATATTGTCAACAACATTTTTTGAAAATTTCATCACTACATCAAGTTTTATAATTGAAAAGTAGGACAAATTACGTTTGACGAGGACAATCCTCCTCAAAGGAGGGCGGTTGGCCAGCTTAGTATAAGTGACAGGGAAAGTTAAAAGGGATCCACGTGTCGAAAAAATAGTTGTTTTCTTTTTTTAGTGATTTTTCTAGTAGATGCAACGCTCTTCCCTTCAGAGATGGACGCTTTGACAAAAAACTTACATATAAAGGCCACTTGTAAACATCAAAAATATCATAAGGTCTACTCAAGGTTATACTAAAGTGCAAGTGTTAAGTTGCTTAAAAATTCAGTTGATTTTTGATAGTTTTTTTACGGTTTTACGCATTTTTTCTCGTATAAAAAAATATCCAATATAATTTGTATGAAAGAAAATGCGTATCTAACACCGTCAGAAAAATAAATTATTTCAATGGTCTATTAAACTGCATATCAACTTCTTTTCAAAAAATTTTGGTTAAAAATTTGAAATCTCGATAAACATGGTATTTGTGGGATAATAAGAGACTTCAATTATCATATAAAAATTTAAGAGTATCGTTAATTTTTTCATGATCCAAATTAGTATGGGACCAGCTCTGGGGTATACCACCTTTCCACAAAAAAAAAAGTATAGAAATCGATTCAAGTTGTCAAAAGTTATGCAGTAACATACATAGAAAAATATATTCCGACAAATTGATAACCTCTTCCTTTTTTTGATGTCGTCGGTTAATAATAAATATCAAATAAACAAACTTTAACTGCTGTTTATGCCAATTGGAAAAAGGAGATTACATATAGAAATTTCACAGTTGGCTCAGAACTTTATGACAATGCAATACGAAAGATGATTTAATCCGATAGGTGGCGCAGGAGTCGAGATATTTGAAAAACCCGTATTTATGGTCCGATTTCGGTCATATTTAGAAAGCTTGTTTTAAAAATATTTGTTTTTACTACTAACTTATTTTAAAATAATTTTAGTTTTAATTATGTACATATGCTTTCCTATTAAAATAGAAACTTACACTAATGTACCCTATTTTATTCTTTTATCTATTTTCCGATTCTACTGACCGGCTGCTCTTCTTCTGACATGGTAATATTTGATTGCTATGGTTTGAATGACGTCGCGCGCTTTTTCAAAAATATATATTCAACTGAACAAACCAAACGAATAAAAATAAAAAAAATGAATCATTTCAATTATTTTATCAAACTTTTTGTTTCACAAATGCCGGCGCTGTTCAAAAACTCTCACATCGTAATTTAAAAATATTGTTCGCGCGCGCATTTTAACTGCAATCTGAATCGGTCGGACACTTGCGCTCACAATCTCAACTGTCTGTTCGCGTGCACTCTGCTGCTTTCTAAATTTAGGGCACCATCAATAGCAGCAGCACCATCAATTCACTGACGGGACGCACGAGAGAGTAGCGCGTGGGTATTAGCTAATCGGCCAGCGGCATTGGCGGAGAACGGATTCCGATGCATTTGGTGTGCTTTGTGTAGTGGAAATGCTGGCCTCAACTTTTTATTACTGTTGAACGAGGGTTGCGTAAAGTTTGTTGCGGTCTTGTGGTATCGAGGCATTCTCCGGAGAAGCACTGTTATTGAGAAAGCAGTGTATTGGTCATTTATTATTGCTATCGGTGGCAGCTTGAAATATAAATATAATCAGGGAAAGAATATAGCATTTTTAGCCGCTAAACATTGCTAGAAAGTGTGTCTCGCTCATGCAATGAAAGTGAGCTTCCTCTGACGACTGCTATTGAATACTAGAGGCTAGAAGTAATTAATGAATGCTCTGCTGATTGGTTAGCCACACATACAGATACACAGAAACTGCGACAACGTCGGCTTTAACAAGCTTTACGCCGAAAATCGTGTCGTCAGGCTAACAATAAAGGCCCCAAAAACGCACATAAAATGGATTCACTTAAAATTCCAAAAGGTAATTAGTGATTATTGCACTGAATATGCGTTTCGGAATTTCAATCAAATCGCATTACGTATGACGTCAATTGCTTTGTTTACTAATCATATGTGCGTTTTCATTTGCAGGTGGTAATAGCAATGCGGCAGGTGGTGGCGGCAAGCCCACTGGCAGTGTACCAATCACCGTCCGATTTAATGCTGGCGATGAATGTATTGACGATATATTTCAGACATTTCACAACAGCAACAACAGTGGCGCTGGCGCTGGTGGAGGAGCCGGTGGTAATGGAAGCGGGGGTGGTGGACCAAATGTTGGCGGTGGGGATTCCCTGTCGAGCAGCCCGTCACAACACCACCAGCTGCAGGCACAACAAAATGTGAGTGAATGATTTAATTGTTTTAACTAAACTGAATAGTTTATGAGGCAGTGATCTGTGATTTTAATAGAAAATCTGCATACATATATACAGCTTGGTTCACTCAAAATCGGTAGGCATAAAATGGGTTATATCTTTTTTAAAGTTTAAAGAAAGAAATATGTAGTATATTAAAATAAAGGGGGTGTATTCCTTTATAGATACTTGTTAGCGCAAGTTCCATATTTTGCTTGGAGATATAAATAACGAACACATATTTTGATAGTGATAAAATTTGTCTGAACACCAGTTCTAAAGGTTTGAGTAGTAAATTTGCTTCGCTAAACTATCTTTAGGTTTTGATTTTCCACATAGAAATACCGAGTATTTTTCTCTTCGACATAAATATGACATTTTCGTCAATTAATTACTTCCGAGGCTGCCTCGAATCGCTCGTCATTTCATAGCCCTTTGACAACTGTGTTGTCAACTTGTATAGAATTTAGTTTTAAGAGAATATCACCCTGTTTCTTTTTAGCTTAAAACTTGTACCGTGGGAGCTAACCGAAGTCAACTTTTAAACATGTTTTATTAGTCATTATTATAAAATTTGTATTACATTTGCTGTGAACATCAGGGTAAATTGGTTGTTGTTGTTGTAACAGCGTACATATTCCCCAACGAGTTTTTGGGTAGTGTTGCTGGAGTGACAGTCCTAGTCAGATATACATAAAATCATTTGATTGTCGTGATAACGATTAGGGTAAAGTAAACGGGTGCGGTTTTTGTCATTAAATTTATTTATTCTAACTAATTTTTGTATATTACAATGGGAGAAAATAAAAAGTTTTTCGTTTCTTTAATTTTCATTAGATTTTTGAAATCCAAAATGTCGAATTTTTCACTTCCAATGCAAATAAAACCGGGAATTTAAAGACCAGTACTATGAAATTGAAAATTTCAGACCTTTTATTAAATTTAATTGAATAAATCGAGCGAAAGATATGCAATTTTAAGAAAAAGCAATTGCTTAATTTTAATTCGCACGGCCCAATGAATTATAGAGATAATTATGTAGTTTCAAAAATTAAGAAATTATAAATAAAAATCAAAGAAATAATGACCCACATGAAACTAACGAAAAATCTAAGGTTTTACAAAACCTCCTTTGTTATCAGACATGAATCATAAAATAAGACATTTAAATATATTACGTTTTTGCTCTGCAGCCTCATATAATATGACATTTTTAAACAAAGGGTAGTCAAATAAAAAGGACCCAGCGTGCGGTTAAAAGTTAAAAATTGGAGCTTTTCTTTATTTCATCTAAAAATACATATCCACGTATACCTTAAAAGGCCCTAACCAACAAATTTTTTTATTTTACAAGAGAAGCAAAAAATTTATAAAAATAGTATCAAAAACAGGTAGGGTTTTTTAAAAAGCTTTTAAAAGTATTAAAAAATTAATTTTGTAATGTTTGTTTTTTTTTTGTTTGGAAAATATAGTGCATGCTACAGCCAAATAAAATCATATAACTCGAAAGTTTAAAATTTTGTTAAAGATTTATAATAATTCAACAAATTTCAAAAAATGGTCATGGCTCTAGGAAATGTGCAAGTTTGAATTAGCTGGAAAATAGCGTTAATTTTGGATAATTTTTCTTTTTGCTGACGATGTTACGATTAAAACTAATGTATGAAAACATTCGCAGCAATTATGTTATTTCAGTGTGGTGCCTGCAATCACCATATCATAGTAGTTTGTGCATTCTTATTGGAATCCCCTTTATTTTTCTATTTATTGATCCACTACTAGTACAAATGAACCCTTTACGACTGCAACTTCATTACTACTATAAATCGCAAGCGAGCAGCAGGCCACATTTTGAATTTATTTCAGTACTCGTTGGAATCCGTGCAAAACAAGTTCACCGCGTATCGCGATTTCTGGCTGCCGGCAGACTTTTTTTATGTACACACAATCTTAGAAACAAATGCATTTGTGTACATATGTATGTACATATTTACGTTATATATCGTGTTAAACGTTCATATTGAGTGAGTCATACCAAATACTTTGAGAGACGAGCCGTTTTAGAAACAAATTTTCATTGGCTGACTTAACAGTTTTTTACTTGAACGCAACTTGCCATTCGGTCTTGTAATTTTAATTTTGGTGAAGCATTTATTCAGGCATCATAACCTTCGAAGTTGGATACTATTTCATAACGAAATCAGAAGAAAGATCTCCACTCACGCAAGTACATATGTAATTGTAGCAGTATGCAATAACAGCTAAAGTTGACTTAAGTATAATATACCATTCGAAATTTAATTTAAATACTTTCAAATTTGGTTTGGATGAAGATAAGCTGGTTCCGGTTTTGCCCCATCTTCAGTGTAATTTTGCGTTCTGTTCTCTTACGAAAATAACTCGGAAGATGGTATTTATAACGCCGAAACCGGTTTGTCACCACACCAAATTGGTCAAAGGATGACGGAAATTCGTTCAAAAATACTTAATATTGGGTGTTGCGCATTTTTTCCCAAACAAAGTCTGTTCGAAAATTCTGTTATTTGAAAAAAAAAAAATGCGTAAACCGTCAAAAAAAGTGCCAAAAATCAACAAGAGCTAGCTACTTCAAATTTGCATTTTTATACTAAAATATAACAGCTACAAAACTGCTTAGGTACAATTGTTTCTAAAGATGCTGATTTTTTGTGAATTTTCATAGATTTTGCACAAAGTCTGAATTTTTGGATTTATATGTTGTTTGTTAAGTAAAAATAATTTCGTAAAAAAATAATCAACATTAAATAAACTACAGAAAAATAGCAAAAATTTGTTAAAATGTCATGTCGCTATTTATATTTGGGTCACTGTACACCAATGCATACAATCATTACGATAAAATACTGCATGTAACAAATTAAAAAGAGCGCGCGTGTAAGAATTTTTGTGTCTACATTCAACACAAGTAGTTCTCCTAGTTGTTTTTCCTTAATTATTTTTTATTTTTTTATTTAATTTTTTTAATTTTATTGGCAAACGTAAATAGAAATATTTAGTACATATACGTATGTACATATGCTTTTGACTTGGCGCTTGTGCGGATCCTTTTGATAGCAGGTGTTATGTAAAGCAATTAAAATAAATGATGAGTAGCGAATTATTTTTTAATTACACAACAAATTAAATGAAATAGTGAGTAGCTCAGAGTAAAAAAAATACAAAAAAAAAAAAAAAACATGTTTGTATATCCTCGACAGGCAATTGATGTTACCAAAAAATGTAACACAACCAGCAGGTGGATGTAGTAAATTACGCTGTACAACATAAACAAAAAACAAAGTTTTGATAACGGATTCTGGTAGAGGGAACCAAAAAACAATATACATATGTAAAAAAACTTAAGTTGGAATTTTAATGCTCTCACACCCTAGGATTGTTCTATATCGAAAAAATAATACCCTTTTTTAATTTTGTAACCAATAAATATTTTCCATGTATTTTATATGGGGAAAAACAACTTTTCGTAGAGTTCTTGAAAATCATAACTTTTCGATCGGAAAACTCTGTTTCTCTTCACGAGATTCCCAATAATAATACCCAATTATTTATTTAAATATTTTTAATACTAAAGATTTTTTATTGGTCCCGCTATTGCACTTTCTGGGGTTTTGGCGGACGTATAAAATATAGTTACTACGAAAAAATTGTTAAAAAAACAATTGGGTATTTTTATTGGGAATCTCCTGAAGAGAAACAGATCCGATCGAAAAATATCGATTTTCGAGAATTCTATACCGTTTACACGAAAAGTTGATTTTTCTCCCATATAAAAGACATGGAAATCTTTGAGAGCTTTGAGCGACCTCTAAATATTTTTTGACTTCGAAATAAAAAATAGGGGTATATTTTTTCGGTATAAAACAAATCTGGGAGTGAGAGCATAAAAATTCCGAAATTACTTTTTCACATGCACTTTGGGACTCCCTACATACATATATAACTGTAGCGTTTTGAAAGTTTACGTCTCGAGTTTTTTTAGGTTATCACAGTTTTCCCCCCTTTTGCACATTCTTATGGGAAATCGACGTCGGAAACCTTACATTTTGGACATACGATGTCTTCAGCAGTTTTATGTAAAATACAACGGAGAAAATTTTTTAGGAGCATTTTAACCCTCTAGATCCTGTGGGCTTTTTTTTGTCCCTTTTCGAGATTTTATTTATTCTAACGTAGGTGCAATCAGTGGCACCAATCACGCCTGGAAAATTTCGATTGTTTAAATTCGCGCATTACATCCGCCACCTCTTTTCAGACTTTCTGAAGTCAGTTTTGCAATCGCCCGAACTACTCTAGCACAAATTTTAACTTGACTAACGTCGTTAACTTTTCTCGAAATAATGTTGCATTTATTCTGCCCTGTGCTTAGGCTCTCGGGATTGTTTGCTAATTTCTCTAAATGACCAGCAGATTTTGATTAATGTTTTGTAATATGTAATTATTCTTCTTATACAAATTTTCATTTTAAATTTAATAAAGAAACTATATTCTCTGATTAAATTAATAAGCCTGCCCGAATAATACAAAACTTTAAGCGTAAAGAACAATTGGTTTTATATAGGTTTCAGGCTCTACTTTTAAGGGCATTTAAAAGGGCTTTATAAAGAACTGCTTGAGAGTATATTTTTATAAGCCTCTTCTTTTATACAATTTTCTTATCCATTTCATTATACTACTCAACAATTCTTGATCAACTTTAACCACCAAGAATGACATAAAACTTTTCCAACGTAGAATTTTTGTCGGAATATCATAATGGTTTCTCTGGGTCAGATTTAGTTTCTGAGATATCGGTGAAAATATGAAGAAACCCATGAAGAAACCCATATACATATGTGCCTCGAAAAGATGTATTTGTCCTCCTATCGGTTCTACATCTGAAAGAGATTTGTAAAGAAGACTCCAACAAAAGTTTTTTTTATCTTCATAGTCATAAATCACACAAGTGGTGTGGTCACTATAGAAAAAAACATACAGAAAATTAAAAAAATCGTTATTTTTTACAAAGTTTCAGATTTGACCGCCTTGTAATCAGAAAAAGTGTTCGGACGAAAAAAAATTAGCCACCCCATGCTAAAGAGATTTCTATTACAAAAATTTTAAGCCTACTAACGCAACTACTGGATGTTATTTCGATTTCATACTTTTGATTTTCTACATTGCGAAAAATTTACAAAAATCAAAAACAACTATAATTTTTAAGAAACAACTTAACAGGGCTGAGTTTAATGCTGAGATATACTACACAAACATACACGTGCATTAAAAGGACCCACGAAAAAAAAATAGGTGTTACCAAACCATAAAAGCTAAACTTCCCCTCATATGATAACATTTTAAACTTCTCTATTAGTTTTATTCGCCCATACAGTCCTGTGTCGAGAATTTCTTCAAATTTCGCATTTCTGTAGTTGAGACAATAGCTATTTATTTGACCTGTATTCGCTATTTGATTTCTGGGAATATATTTAAGATGCTTTCAAAGTTACGGCAATCCCCATCGGATAATTAAGCAGACCATTCCTGTTGTTTTATAAAAAGCTTTTTATCCAGCTTCGCGAAGTGTGTTTTTTGTCTTTTTTGCCAATATTCTTCAGCGGTCAAAATAAGAAAAAAAAAACAAGTTAAAAAGTAAAACTAGTAAACAAGTAAAAAAAGACGGAGCCGAACCCGGCGCAATCATTAAATATATTTTTTTTCACCTTTCCGAAAACTACCGCTACATGGTAAGCAGGGATTGTTTTACCCCTATTTCAAACATCTTCGATAGAACATTCAGTTAGAAATAATGAGATTAACTTAAATAGTTATATGGGGGCGGTATCACGCCCATTTTCCAAAATTCCATAACAATGTTACTTCACTTCTTTTCAAGGGATTGTTGTTAGTATCAATTTTGAGCAAATTACCTTCCTTAAATTTCGAAATATCGAAGTTTCAAGCATTTCTGAAATTTACCGCTTTATGAAAAGTGGGCGTAATTTTAGTCCGATTCCAATAATCATAGCGAGTTTGGTACAAATTGGTCGAACGGTTACCGAGATACACATACATATGTGGTCATAAGTGGGCGGTGCCACACCCATTTTCCAAACTTTTATCAGAAACGTATTTTTAGCTAAAGAATTATTACAATAACTAATCGATTTTGAATAAATTAGCTTCAGTATGTACTGATTTATCGAAGCTTTCGTATTTCTCTAAATTACCGGTATATGGGATGTGCGTGGTTATGCTCCGATTTTAGAAATTTTAAGCCGTTTGGTATGTTGTACCGAGGACTGTGCTAAGTTTGGGAGAAATTGGTGAAGCGGTTACCAAGATATACAAATGTAAACATAATTGGGCGTGGCTGAGCCCGTTTTCCAAAAATTTATAATATTCTTATTTTTCGTGAATAAGCTTCAGTAGTTACCAAAATCTCGCAGCTTTCGTATTTTTGAAAACTACCGTTATATGGGATGTGTGCGTGGTTATGGTCCGATTTTGCCCATTTTCAATATCATCCGTCCTACGAAGAAAAGAAGTACACATACCAAGTTTCGTTATTATATCTAAATTTTTACTCGACTTATCGTGTGCACAGACGGACGGACGGACAGACAGACAGTCACCGCTTAATCGATCTCTTTTCATTCTGAAAATTTATGTATACATTTGTCTATATCTATCTCGATTCGTTTTGGCCTTTGCAAACAACCGTTATGTGAACAAAGTTATAATACCCTTGTGCACAAGTGCGCTCGGGTATAACAAAGCTTCTCCGATTTCCTCTAGACTAGACAGAAAAGACTAGACTAGACTAGAAAAAAAATTTCATCATATTTTAAATAAAATTAATAAAAAAGAACTACAAGCGAACTTTTTTTAGGTACAATCTGTCTCATTAAGGTGCATTTGTTTTATGATATTAGGCACCATCTGGAATGTGAAATTTGAGGTTCATTGAAATCCCAATAGCTTTTGGTACGTACCAGGAATTTTAATTATTGCGCCAAAGAAAAGGTTATATAATACCTACAGCAATCAGGGTAAAAAAAGCGACCATCTCGGATCCGCGCTTTAAAAATAATGGATTCCAACTTCAGAGCTGCAGTTAAAGATCCTTCAGGGTTGAAAGTAGAAAACAATCGTCTAGAATACACTCAAAACTATCGCACATTATCGTTGGTGTCGACTATCGATAGTTGCCGACCTCTGTTGCAGGCCACATCTTAAAAAGGTTAGGCCAGCTAGAGGTTCTCATGACTTCATATCATTATCTGCACTGATTGTTATTAAGTCAGCACACCTTTAATGAAAGTAAATAAAATTTGATCTTATCTTGCTATTTTGAAGAAAATCTTTTTTGTTTTTTTTTGCTTTCATGGAAAATGGTTACGCAAACTACATATTGTGTAAAATTTGTGCTGTTTTCGAACACCCACCTTAATAACTTTTTCAGTTATATTTTATAACTGGAAGCGTATAGTCACCAAAGTTTCTTCCAGCCGATTTGGCTTATTTTCAATGTAAAAATAAGTGTATAATTATGGTTAAAGACAAGTCATTAAGTTTTGAGGAATCAGTAAAAATTCTTGCATATAAGGAAGCGGGACTGTCAGTTAAAGAAATAAGTGAAAATATCGGTAGAAGCAGCAAATTGGTATCCGCCTACTTACATAATAAATCGCGATATACCAAAAACAACAAAAACAGCAGTCAACAAGCAATTACAGTTGCTACTAAGAAAATTATTCAGCGAGAATTTTCCAACTCCGAAAAGATCAGGCCTAATAAAATTGGTGTTCATGCAAGTTTAATTAACGCACGACGAGCGCAAGGGAAATCAACACGTTTGAATAAGCTGAAAACAAAAACAAAATTTGCATCCAATATGGCTCAAAAACAAATGTCCATTGATATTGATTCTGCAAAATTTAGCTTGGGGAGCCCAATTAGTTATCCCAATTGCTTGCATGGCTTGCGCGTTGAACGACATCGCCTTGATCACCTCCTCAGCGGAGCAGGAGGTACCGTGGTGTTGGGGGCCATACCCAAATATGGAATATTTAATCCGCGATATTTGTCAATGAATGCGGAAAGTCTCGATAGTGTACTCGACGACGCCTTCTTCTGCCATATCAAAAACATGACAGGAAATACGCATTGGCGTTTCCATCACGAGAACGCTCCTCTAGATACTCGTATCATCCTTGGGCTAAAAACGTGGATTGAGTGGCAAAATGTAGGTACCCTATTAATATAAACTAAGATGAAAGAAGAAGAGTTGGCAGTGTACAACTTATTTGATCAAAATATATCAAATCAGGAACATAGCAATTATAAGTTTTATCAAAAAAAAGTTGTTCCATAACAGTTATTGATGAGAAATATTTTTCTTTCGCCGATAAGGACTATAACCCAACGTTTACTTTCTACGTTGCTTGATAACTGTTATGCAGGAGAAATATGTTTTTCGTCGCCAATAAGAGTTATTTCTCCACGTTTACAGATAACTTAAAAATAAGCGTTGGATTATAACTGTTATCAAGCAACCTAAAAAATAGTCGTTGAGCAATAACTGTTATCAAACAAAATAAAAAATAAGCCTTGGGTTATAACTCTTTATCAGCGAAAAAAAATACTTTTCATCTAATAACTGTTATGAAACAACTTTTTCAATAAATCCCATAATTTGGGCAACGTTTTCAATTTGTAAATTCGAGCTAACAGTTATTTTTGGTCCCTGTATCAAACACACGCATTTCACTCAAATAAATTTAACGATTTTTGCCTACTGAGCCACAGTCTGATTTGTTGTTATAGTGTTTAATACTAAATAGTAACGGCATCGCGGTTATTTTACTGGATTTATTCTGTACAATATATTTTAGTCTTAAATTTTTTCTTAATAAATATATTGCAATTACTCTTACTAATGTTTTTCCTCCTTTCAGGTGGATGATGTAAATACAAGGAATAATTTTCTGCAAGGCAATTTCTTCAATCGCAAAAGGTATTTATTTGCACAAATGTTTTCACTACAAATACTCTTCACCCATAAACAAAGTTACACCTCAAACAAACTGTTGCCAGAAATATTTTTCCATTATGTGCATAAAAACAAAACGGTCTATTCAAATGTTGGTTGCTGCGAGTTGCGATGTTGTTTAGTCTGTTAAGGTAATTAGAAAGGCGGTGTATTAAAGATCAAGTGCTTTAAAGCATCATATCTAAGCCTTTACTTATTTCCAAAAAAAAAATATCTATAAACTTCATCCGCAATATTGCAACTTTCTTTCTCAGTAGTACTACGCACCAAGTCGCTTAACCGACTTTGCTTAACTCAATTGGTGGCTTCATGTTAATGTCGTCTATTGAGTTTCTTATTCGATATATGAAATCTATCTGCTCTACTTACTATAGTGTAGGATTGCCTAACTCTGTGAATTTTTGCGAATCGATTCAATGTGCCTTTCGTACCGAAAAGATGACAAACTAACATCTTTTTGCACTCCATTTCACCACAAGGCTTCACGAAACAACTGAACATACATTTGTATTATATTTGTGATAATTATAAATTAACACTTACATAAATTTTCACGAATAAACAAACGATACGAATGTGCAGTTAAGCGCTTATTGTGGTATACTTTTTGCGCTTTACACTTTGCTGGTAAAATTAGAAATGTCGCGCAAAGCATTACTTCACATATGTAGCCTTTATTACCAATGCCCACTCGCTCTTCTACAGTGTTCATTGCATGTATCCAAAGCTAATACCTCAATAAAAGGGCTAATAGCTAAGTCCCAGCAAACACAGTATCTAACGTTAGGGACATTTGAATTTCTGCATTAGATGACTAGGCTAATTCTCGAAGTGTGCTCGAGTCGATGACGAAGTTAGAGAACTACATTAGAATTCGATTCGTGAACGATTAGAGTAACAACGCAAATTCAAATAAATGTAAATAAATAATATTCCAAATCTGTCAAATCTGTCATTCTCATCGTCAAGTTTAAAACAGAAATTTTTGTTAAATAAATAGAATTGAACCGCGAACATTTTCGTGCTTTGTTTTTCTATGACTCTGGACTTTTGCTGCGACTTCGAGCCATGGTGTTTGCTGGTTTTCCGAATTCAATCGTGTTTGGACTTCACTACTGGTCGAATTTCGTGGAGGTCGTCCCAAATCGACTATTCTGCCGGAAAACTTCGATTGGCGCAAACAGATGTTCAAGAAACTCAGTCGTGGTACTTCAAAAAACGTCGTGTAAGATCATGTTAGACAATGAACGTGGATCTATTCATAAGTATGAACCCGAAACTAAACAATCGATTGTATGGATCTTTCAAAGCGAGCCAAATCTAATATAAGCTGTTCGCACACGAATCACTTCGAAGAACGGCCAACTTTGAATGGTACACAAGCAATTATTTGCCAGAAGTGTTCGGAAAAATTAGAGAAAACAAACGCAGAAAACGAATCTTTCTCCACCACGACAATGCAAGCTCTCACACATCCACTGAAACAAAAATGTTTCCATAATTCAGAACATTCAATTGATGGGTATTCTGCCGTAGAGTCCTACTTTAGTACCCAATCATTTCTTCTTACTACTGTAGATAAAAATGTCAAGCCTTATGATGACAATGTCAGATTTGATATATTCACATTAATGCTGCAACAACACTTAAAAAGTAACCCTCGTATAAACTTTTGTGCTAATAACATTAAAGGCTAGTCAGTGAAAATATTGGCTTTGGATTTGTAGTTACTTGTAATTATGCAAAGTAATTTTTCCAAACTTTGCGCAAAAAATTGTAAATTTTCATAAAAATTTTGCCGCTTTTTATTGTCTACTTTAAGAAAATTTTAGTGTACAATATAAACATCATGGTGTACCCCTTTATTCTTTTCTAGGCACAAAATAAAGACATCCCGCGAAAAAAAAAAAAAAAATAATAATTTTAGGTGCCCGTTACCTGTGTTTGATTTATTTATTTTAAATTGTAAAAATTCGATATTTTTAATTTGACCGACCAGTTATAAGTCACAAATTTTTTTAATTTATATCAATATGTAAAATTTATCAGACTTCAAGTGCAAAATTTGTCGAGCTTTTGCGATAAAAAAAATTAAATTTTTTAAACCCTGCTAGCGAAAACTAAAAATGTGTATAACGTTTTAAAATTCTCGTGGATATTTATTCGTGGAAATTTACATGTTGGCATTGTAAGGGCCACCCTAGTATATGGTTTTGCAATTTATTGTATTTGTATAATCAAGTGCAAGTTTGAAGTAGCTAAGACGTATCGTTGATTTTTGAAATTTTTTTCGTTGAAGGTGCTGCTTAGTTTCCATATAACATATGGACCAATTTGTTTTTTATTTGATAAAAGGATTAGGCACCCTGAAATTGTGCCGTGCTTTAAAAATATAACCCCCATCAGTCGGTTTTCGGTTTGGATCAAACATTTGTGGATAATTTCGGTTCGGTTAATAAGAAATGAGAGATATGAAATGACTTAGACCACTTTCACATTTATGGTCACATACAATATGTAGATATATACATATGTACTCGTGTATCTACCACAGTGCGCCGCACAGTGCTGCCGAGAGGAAAAAAAGCAAATTTTGTATAGGCCATCAAACCTTTTATTTCAATTATTTCATGTACTTAATACATCTGTTGCAAAAGAGAGTTCACTTATAATATTAAATTAAACATATGGACAAAATTTCGGAGTCATATTGTCATCGGTGCGCTTTCTAGGGCATTTTTAAAGCGATTTTCAGGTTAGATTTATATGGGTGGTATGCTTTAAAATAAACCGATCACGGCGATTTTTCGTTTTTTTCTTGATTTATTTCCACGCATATTACATACGAAAAATCAAAGCTCTACGCCAACTCCTAATTTTTTCGAAAATATGTATGGGGCGGCACCACTGCGCGCGCCGCACCGTAATTCTCATTCAAATTTAGCGCCAATTTATGACTGTATCATATCTGTGTTTTTTTTTTTTTATAGGGGTGCGTTGAAGCACTTGTCTCAAGAGCGCACGGCCACCAACTTGATTAGTCAACTTTTTGCTTTTTGCTTTTTTCCTTTGTTCTGCGGTGTAGATATAGGCTTTTTAAATTCCTTTGCCACATTGCGTGCATGATTTTAGAGTTAATTTTGCTAGCCGCACCACTTGCAACAAGCTCACCTGGATACCTAGCTGTCTTCCAGCGGATGGGTGACAACGAATTTATGAATGGAATACAGACACTCTCAAGCATATTGTTTTATTTCGGTGTCGTTAAGCGCTTTGTGAAACGTCACGAGTTTCTTGCTCCAGTGGAGCATTGTGATTGCGAACGAGCAGTTGGCAACAGACAGACAGCGACTGCATGTATGTATGTATGTGGCTTTATGAAGGGGCTGAAGTTTGTTGTGTGTTGTCGTCAAGGGAACGAAGTAGCGACTGGAGTAGCTGACTGTCTGTCGGTGTTTGTTTTTTAGCCATTCATGTGCCATGTGAATGCAACGCTCTTTGCATTCATAGTTGCATACCAATGCAGTCGCAAAATGCAAAGCTTTTGCGCATGCACGCGTCTCGCAGCCCCAAGCAAAAATTTTAGTCAAAGTTCAAAAAGTGTTGTGATTGCAGTGTAAAACTCAGGTGAAATGTTTTCAATTACTGGCTGTGTGTGCGCGCCTATCGAGTGCAGTGGGTGCAGAATTTTGCTTGAGATGTGCTTATTTATTTTTAATATTTTTTTTCTTTTTTTGGTTTTACTCGCCCTTTTCTTTTTTTCATGCCGCGCAGCACTTTGCGCACTCGAAGCACTTATCCATTCTTGATGCACTCGCCAACCAAGCGTGCTTCACTTGTAATGCTGTCGGCAGTAAGTGTAAGCCTTTGCTGCACACAAACATACTTACAAATGTATGCACTCAGGATATACGATTGAGGACCTTAGCGTTGGTTGGTTACTGTCAGTTTGTCATTGCACCAAAAACTAACAGAGGATCTACATTGTTAATGACTTTGACTGTTGCGCTGCCGTTGCGTCTATAAGTCTACTTAATTTGGCTTAGTCGCCTCTGCTTTGCCACCCTTAATTTTGTTGCAATATCTTCTGCTCTCCTCTACTCGCAAGAAAATGTGTTGGCGTTGATATAACTGCAAATATCGTCGTTCTTATTAGTGTTGGTTTGGTCCTGTAAGTGCGTTACACTCAACATTTTGCATTATTCTATGGAACACAAACAAAAAGTATGTTTTCTTGCACCTTTTCATTTTAAAAACTAAAAAGCGTCTGAGTTGGCGGCCGGTTGTTTATTCCTTCGGTGGAACTCGTTCCCTCTCCGTCTGGTAGGCGCGTGTCTGTATAACCCTTCATTCGATATGTATTAGGAATGTTAATCCCGGGATCTCGGCCTTTGTAAGGTCCCAAAAATTTCGGGACTTTGATATTCGGGATTTTCGAGATTTGTAATTTGCACTGATGGCAATAATAATTAATATTTTTGTATAAATTTCTAGCTCATAATACATACAACACCTTGCGATATTTAGTAAATTTTACACACAAAAATCAATATATTCCCGAAACCATGGGCGAAATATAGTAAAATTGCTTTTTTAGTTTTTCACTCTGTCGTCAATAATCCAAAAATGATTTAAAAAATTCAGAGAAATGTGCTTAGAGAAGAAGTATGTGTATCAAGTTAAAGAGGAAATCCTGTACAATTTAATCAGATTCAATTTTTTGGCACATAAAGACTAGGAAGTATTGAAAATGTTCGTTTAAAATTTTATCCTTGAAATTTCGCATATTTGTTTCTGGAAAAATTATATGTTAAGGACTTATATAAACTAGATAACATCCTCAAAATTTCGTCCTTCTAACTTTATCGGCTTAAACAATTACCTAGTCGTCCTTGTGAATCCAACAAATTGTATTTTCCTTTAATTCTAAAGAAATTTCCTCTTACATTTGGTACCCATATTTT